CCATCTGTCCTGCCCACAGTATGCCATCGTCTTCCGCACGCCCCCCTACCACAAGCCCAAGATCGACCGTCCTGTCACTGTCTTCCTGCAACTGAAGCGGAAGCGGGGAGGTGACGTGAGCGACTCCAAGCAGTTCACCTACTACCCCGTGGTGGAAGGTGAGCACCCCCTGGGCAGGCCGGCGTGCCCCTCGTTGCCGGGGCCACCCCTTACCCTGGTGCCCCTCTCTCCCCGCAGATAAGGAAGAAGTGGAGAGGAAACGCAAGAAAGTCCTGCCTCAGTTTCCCCAGCACTTTGGTGGGGGCTCACACATGGGAGGTGCAGGCGGGGGGGCTGGGGGCTTCGGCTCTGGAGGAGGTGAGTGAGGATGCCTTTGCCCCATCCCTGCTCGGGTGGCTGCATCCTGATCCTGGGGGATCCCTGCTCCCTCCCAGCCTCACCTGTCCTCACCCTTGCTCCATAGGCGGTCACCTCAGCTTCCCCTACTCCCCCGGGCTGGCCTACAACAGCATCTACTCATCCGGCCCGCACCCTGTGGGGGGCTACCAGGGGGGTGTGCAGATGAAGGGCCCTGAAGCAGAGGGACCCGGGAGCGACAGGCAGGCACCTGCAGAGACCACGTACTGCAAGGACCTGCAGCAGCACGGTACGAGGGGCTAGGCTGGAGTGAGAGCTGGGGACATCACTCGGGAGAGGTGGCACAGGTCAGAGGCCTTTGGGGGCCAGGTGCCGCTCTTATCCACCCCCTAGGGGGATGCAGGAGGGTGGATGGAGCAGCTGCTCCTGGTGGTGACATCGTGCTTCATCCCCCAGCCCAGCTCTGCCAGCTGTGGATGCTGGCGCTGGCCCGTCGCAATGCCCACGCCCTGCTCGACTACTCGGTCACCGCCGACCCCCGCATGCTGCTGGCAGTCCAGAGGCACCTGGCCGCATCACAGGATGAGAACGGAGACACGTGAGCACACCAGGGGTTTGGAGGGAGAGTGTGGGAGCCTTGTTGGCCATCAGAGCCATTATGAGGGGGTGGGAGGTGACAGGGAGGACCTGGGAAGCTTGGAGCTGAGCCAGGGGCCATCCTGCTCTCTCTGCAGGCCTTTGCACCTCGCTATTATCCATGAGCAGACAGCTGTGATCAAGCAGCTGATCGAGGTCATTGTTAGCATCCCCAGCCAGCAAATCATCAACATCTCCAACAACCTTCAGCAGGTACATACTTCCCAGAGCAGCTGGTTCTCCTCTACCTGGGGCTCGCTCCCATTTCCCAGCCCCAGGGGCTGCTGTTGCTGCTCCTTCTAGAGGGCAGGCTGCAGGGCTGTGCATGGTGCAGTCATGCTGGCCAGGACAGTGGTGCAGGACTCGGCTCCTCTTGCAAGAGCTGCTGAAGGGGTGCTGCTCTCCTGCAGACACCACTGCATCTGGCAGTTATCACCAAGCAGCCCCAAGTAGTCCAGCTCCTCCTGCAAGCCCACGCCGACCCCACCTTACTGGACCGCTATGGCAATTCCTTGCTGCACCTAGCACTCCAAGCGGGTGATGAAGACATGCTGAGGACACTTCTGGCCCACCTGGGCTCAGCTGCCCCTTACCTGCTCCGCCTGCCCAATTTCCACGGTGAGTGGGTCTTGGAGACAATGTGCAGGAACCTAGTGGTGCTGTCATGGTCTCAGCTGGAGGACTGCTGAGCCTTTCCCCCTGTTGCAGGCCTCCTGCCTGTGCACTTGGCCGTGAAGGCAAAGAGTTTGGCCTGCTTGGACCTGCTGGTCAGGAAGGGAGCAGATGTGAACGCAGTGGAGAGGCAGGGTGGGAGGACTCCCCTGCACCTGGCTGTGGAGATGGAGAACCTGAACATGGCCACTCACCTGGTGAAGAAGGTATGGGGAGGGCTGGTGGGTTGGTGGCTGTGGGACAGGGATGGGGTGCAGCCTCCAATGGAGACATGGCAGAAGTCGGGGGGGACCCTTGTGGTCTTGGGGCGACAGGGGACAGGGTGGGCAGTGCCCAGGGAGCCCACCCTCATGGCCTTGCACCTTTCTCCATAGCTGGGAGCAGATGTCAACAGCCGGACTTTTGCGGGGAACACCCCCCTGCACCTGGCTGCCGGCCTGGGCTCCCCCACCCTCACCAAACTGCTCCTCAAGGCTGGTATGGCTCTGCTCTCCCTCCTCTCCCATCACCTCCCCACCGCCCTGGCTGCCTGCACCGGGGTGGTGCCCAGGCACAGGGCTCTGCCTTCCCTTCTGGGGCTCAGTCCACCCTTCCTGGCCAGGGGCGGACGTGCTGTGCGAGAACGAC